CATCCCCGGGTCTGCCCTCTTTGCAAGCAATTCAGTCTGGAGTAAGAAAGGTGAATCAGTGTTGATTCTAGGAACTCGTTTGACGAAAACGGCGTAAAGATCTGTAAGAACTGCAAGAGAGAAGAGATGGAATATTATCTCTTAATATCAGTGCAATATTAAGCTGTACAATCCAATTCGTCTTCCCTCCGGAGATCGTCAACTTGGTGTCCACTGACACGAGAAATGCAATATCTACTAAAACACAAATAAGTTCTTTGAATGGTAATGATATATGAATGAATATATCCATACTGATGGTATAAATGAAGATACGAGTAAATTTAATGGTTATCATGGCTACTTATACACTTTGGAGGAGAACGTTGCCATGGTCTGAAGTTTCAGTTATCAAAAGCAATATCAAATTAACAAGTAATCCAGAGTAAACGAGCGAGAGTTAACTAATAACGAAGATGACAGTTCGTATGAGCTGGGCCTAACACATAGTAGAGGTTAGAAGTATTAAATTATTAATAGCATTATGCGTACTTTAAAGTATAGCAGTGGGTAACACGTCACTGCAGCAGCGTTCTATCTGACTGATTGGTAAACCTGTTAGAGTGTGAGAGGTTCTCAAAGGGAGTTCTGATTGGGTTACAAAAGAGCGTGACTGTGACGCAGTAGTTTTAGCATGCCAGCCGCTGTCCAACCAGCGACGAGGAATTGAATGAGTGTATGACTTCAGACACGTCAGACTGACGTAGGCCTCGTGCGGCCAATCAGTCGACGCCAGACTACTACAACCGTGACGTCACTGAGCCGCCTGTCAGTGAGACCCGACAGCAGTCAGAGCGCGGAAAATATATTATATCATGGTTTACTCTGCACTATACCTTAATAATACTGACATGAACAAGATAAATTAAAGTATTAGATCTATGCATGTTTGTTTTCTTTTGAGCCGTTAAATTTAAAGAACAGTCGAAATTCAGTGCAATTGCTCGTTCGATTAATATCTTTAGTTAAGTTACCCAGAAAGTTTTCTTCCATTACTGGGAATTCATAGAAGATGAAAGGAAGGGTAAACTAATTCAAAACACTAAATACTATGACGGTTAATACATCAATAGAACTTTTTATAATAAGGATTGAGGTTGGTCTATGAGTTATGATACTCTGAAATTAAAAGTCAATTATTTGAAGATTCTTCATGAAATCATGTAGTGATCGCTTGTTATAGCGTAAATGTGGATGACTTAGTCCATTTCAGAGACAAGATCAGATTCGATAATTTCTCCAGAACACAAATGTTATCCTGGAGAAAAGGAAGACATCTTGCCTCTTCGAGAAGCTGAACTACCGTGCGTCGCAATAGGGTCACCGAGGGATGAAAATATTTCCAGTAATCCAGGCCCAGTGTTGCACAAATGCAGCTGTTGATCGAGTTTCAGATTCATGGTGATCGAACTGCAATAGAAGAAGACACGGCGGAGGCCCAGTCAGCCGAAGCCACGGATAGTGAGGCAGCCACATCTCAAACCAGTGCGAGACAAGGGTGTTCACACTGGTGAGGAGGATGGCCTCTCTGGTGGAAGTCGAGATGAAAAGGCGAACCAACTGACAGGATGTGGTTCGCCATGAGTACATCCACGCGGGAAAAGGATCATCTAGAGTATATGCACAGGAGAAGTGAGCTGAGGGAATCCCCAGCCTGCGTTCTAGAAGGATGATGCTTACGCGGCCTTTCTGAACGACAAAAGGGCTGGACCACATCCTGCAAGAGGCCGAGAGATGTGGAGGTGAGGCGCACAGAGACCGGATCAAGAAACCAAAGGCCCGTCGACTGGACAGCATGCCGAACCCAAAGTTGGTCATCTGATGATACGAAAATGAATGCGGTGGTGAACGCTCTTTACCAACATGGTCGGAAAAGCTTTACTTAAATGCCGATTTAAAGGAATCTTGAACCTTGGCCGTCTGAAGTCCGCTCATGCCTCAGACATAATGAAGGAGATTGGAATGTGGATGGAGGATAATCCTGTCCTCGACCAGCAGTTCTAGCTACGCCTCAAGAAGACAGTTTAAAGGAAGTTCCATCGCCAGAACACGGCTGGAACAAGACACGTAGAAAGGAGAACTGCTATAAGCTGGAGGCGACCGTAACTCTACTAACGCCAGCGACAAAGAAGGAGAAGAGGGAAAATGTCAATCCAACTCGCGTTCCATCCTTGGTAAAATGCTTCATGTGTCATAAGTGGGGCATCGACGACCCGAATGCCCCTCTCTGAAGGAATTTGAGAAATTTCCGGCTGTGAAAACTAGAGCACGGCAGTCCAAGAAGGATGGCAGTACGAAGGATTAGATGAAGGGAAACACCAGGAGTTGGGTACTGAATAAAAGAGGGAACCGCTGCACAGAGAAACGGCTGGGATGAAACGTAGCGTTGGACGAAATAGTGAAATTACTTGGAGCACTTTGACACTCGGACGATATATGATTAAACTTATGCATAGTAGTGACATATGTGAAGATAGGAATATATTTAACTCGTTTATTTTTTTCAGGACTAGTGATACATATTGATACATATTGCCATGCT